ATTCAAAGTTTAAAGTTGTAAGTATAGAAAAAATCTAATAGGCTAGTAATTTTATTTCCTTTGTGCGTAAATACAAACAAGTACATATGTCATGAAAATCATGCTACAAAATTGACCGATTGAAAACATCATTACAGAAGTAAAAAAAAAACGAAAATGTTTAGCAGTCGATTTCATTTCATACAACTATGTCGAATAATTTGGAAACAACAAAAGGTACATGGGGGTGATTTGGATACCCTCTCAGTAAAGGGCGTTTGTGCACTACACGGAATTTTACTGTCTGGCAATCCGATTTTTTACTGTCCGGAATGAATGAATGGCCACCATTAATCAAAATACTAGCTTGTGCACTATACGTAATTTTACTGTCCGACATTTGCACAATCCAATCCGTTGGTTTTTTCATGTCATACCGGACCGTAAAAAATTGGAATGCTGGACAGTAAAATTTCTTGTAGTGCACAAACGCCCTAAAGGAGTTATATTTTGTCTCTAAACGTCACTCTTTGGGCCATCCTGCCAAGACCTACCTCACTTAGAGCTAAGATGCTAATGGCAGACAACAATGGTGTCTTGCATTTTCACTTCGTACGAGGTTTTCAACCATTGTTCTACCACATTGTGAAAAGTTTGCTGTATGTGTACCTATAACGTAATCTTATCTGTGATGAAGGTGCATGCACACACACTTGGCCAGTTTTATAGCTGAAATAATTGCAGTCCGTAATCTCCGAGAGAGTCTGTAATAGTCTGCGAGCCCGTCTAAAAAGTTATAATATACGTCGGGTGACATCCAGGTCGTAAAGGTTGTGCTAAACAATAAGAATCAGAATAATAAAGCGTTAAATGCTGCCATGAATGTTGACATATGACTTACCCCTAGAATGCTGACATTGACTTACCCCTAGAATTGGCACCGAAAGTCACGGATTTCCCAATTCCGGTCAATTCTGAAATCTGATTCTTCTGATTTTATCTTATCACAATCTTTTTGACCTGCTGCCCTGCTTAGGTAAAGACATGTAACTTAGGTAATTGCCTGGACTGGTCCACGGACTATACTATAAGTATTGATACCGGTCTTATTATCTATTCATGTGTTTTATTGTCCGGATGAAGTGTAGGTAGACTAACAAAATAACCTGCCCATTTATCAAAACCCTGAAATGTTTCGGATACTTGCAACATTGCTGCCTCAAAAAAGCTATCATTCGATCATCATTTAGACAATGAAATCGTTCTCATTGCACTTTCTTAACTAAAGGATATTTTGTACTAAGATTTTTCATATAAGAATAGGAAAGAAAGCTAATGGCTAATTAAAACTGAGATTTTTCTAATAAGAATACACATTGAAAAGATTTTTCTAGAATTTTGATTCGAAACTACAACACCCACATTAGTTCCAGAGGTATATTCTGCTGAAACCTTCAGCTACATTGCCGACAAAGGCGTGACATTTTTCTTTTATCTCATGGTAAACTAAGCTATCCATTACCTTTGTTTCGCCTCAGGGTATTATAATAGAATCATGACTCATATCATAATTAATGTTTTCAGAAAAAGCCACCCCCGAAGCTAGGATCAAAGGTGAGTGGATGAAATAAGATCCCTATTCGTTGTAGTCTAGATTGTACTCAGTGGAGGACATACGGCGCCAGCTAGTGCTAAGAAATATATAGAAAAATATTGGCATACGAACATGCATAGGCGCAGCATGATGGTAGTTTTTTATCGGTTTGCACACAGAATAAATAATAGTACTGTTTGCAGTTAAAAAACGTCAGTGCCGGGCTCTCTTGTTAGGGGGGATTTACCATAGGAACTCACCACGCTTGGTAAGCGGATTCGCGAGCGCATAGTAAGGTGTTATATTTACAGAAAACACTGCCCTGCCCATCCCCTGGATTTATCCCTTAGTCAGCTTACGTCACAGGCAGACCGAAGGTGACGTAAGGCGACTAGGAATCGAATAGGCCGTCGGAACTCAATAAGGCGACCAATGGGGTGGTGCTATTAAAAGCCAGCACCACATCATCAGGATACAGGGCAGCTCTAGTGTCGTAATGTAGTGATCAGACATCTATTGTGCTCGTATAATCCGCCGACGATTTGACGAGCCGAGAAAGGATTGTATTGTATTGTATGTCATCTACTTCAGAACTCGGCTCTCACTAACCTATAAAACAGGATGTAAAAGCAATGCTGAAAATACCTACATATAATACAAGGTGTTCCAATGTAAATACATTAAATTGGAGACGTTGTGTAGGCCATCGTACCGAATAATTTTCATTATGGGGACAAGTTGTGAAAACCCCTCGTTTAGAAGTAATTAGCAACTTAAATTTGTTAAATTTAATTGAGTGCCACATTATGAAAGGAGCTTTATTAATTATGACCTTTACTTATGTCATGTTGCCGCTTTGTTGCCGTCTTGGAAAAACTTTTGAAATTACCGCCACAACTTTTTCCAAGACAATAGTTTTGGCGGTAATTTAGTTGCCAAAGCAACAGTTGTGGCGTAGTCCAAGGTCAAATGTCATGTTCGTCAAAAACTGACACAACTGACACTACAGACTCTACTGGGTTCTCTGATTGGCCCTTTGTCTTTGCGTCTTTATGGGTGCTCTAAGTCAAAAGAAGTTTTTAGTTTGAGGCGGCAATAAAATAAAGTTGACACCAAGAAAGAGATCTTTTATCTTAAGTTTTCGTTTAAATTTAAAACATAGACAACTATGTCCCAAACTTTTTCGAAAATTCAAATCCATCAAGTTAAAAATACAAGGTTGCAATCTTGGATAAGGGGTAATACATAATGGTTGTATTAAATGTAGGCATTTACTTTGTATGAAAATTTTAACTTCTTAATTGTTAAGAACTCAAACTTGGTGCCATAATGGAAATTGTTCAGTACAATGGTCTACACAACGTCTCCAATTTAATGTATTTCCTTAGGAACACCTTGTATATCAAAACGTGGACAAGTTCAACAATATTTTTCTAGCAATACCTCAAATATTATTCTCTCCATTTTTTACACAATTTATGTGCATTTGGGAGGTTAGTAGATACCTATTTGGATGGAAGTCTGTACAGAATGAGAGTTAAAAAAAATCAGACAGTATTTTTAGGAGCTAAGATTTACTAAGCTCATTGGTAAACAAATCTTATAGGAAAATTTTTGCTGTAATTCTAACAGGATTTGAGAACAGGACAACGAACAAGACAGAAGAAAGGATAGGCAATCTACATTAGATTTCTTGAATATTTTATAGCATTGGTACCATAATCTATTTTGATATGCGTACTTTTGTTATATTATATTATATCCTTGCGAATAAGTTTCAGTGCGCGGTGAGAATATTATTTATTATACTATTATTGTGGGGAAACTTCGTGTTACTATCGTGATAATTTGGTGGAACACTCAAAGCGCATTCCTGTTGGCAACAAAGTCGAAACGCACCAATAGGCAGTTTTTTTCTACCTACAAAACAAAAACTCGCAGTCGCACCATTTAGTTCCCAGTTTTCCTACTCATTGTTGAGTCATTGCTACTGTTAGGATTATTCTTACTCATTGTTGAGATTATTAATGTTAGGTTTATTCTGTTGCAGTGTGGAGTGTGCCCCCCTTGCCAGGCGCCATGCAACCCAGCCGAGCCGCCGGTAAGCCTCTTACTGCGCCTAGTGCAGTGCCTACTGCCACAGAGTATTTGCTTCGTGCTCAGATCAACCTAAAATATTACGTAAAAGGTCCCCACTGTCTGCAGTATGCTGCCTCTCATACGATCCCATACAAAACAACGTCTCATCTCTACGAGCGTGGCTACGGAGGCAGTGTGTTGCGCGCTTTAGATCTTACTCGTCCGAAATATTTTTAAAACAAATTGAGAGTAATGTTGTTACTTCAGCAGCTTAAGTGGTTCAATCAAAGGTATGATCGGCTTTTTTGTGCAAAATATAGTAATTAAAAATATATTTCAAGTAAAATATCAATTCAACTGAGCGTTCGTGCTGGAAAGCTACCTCTTCTTTAAAATTTTCTCTGTTACTAATAATAGGTTTTCCTGCAGATATCGAGCTTATTTTTAATCAATTTCTTTAAGCCACGTTAAGGTAGCTCAATTCGTAGAACATTGTATGAGACCAACTTTTACAATGGAATTCTGGTAAAACATTAATAAACACTTTACTTATTGATTTTATACGGCTTTCTAGTAAAACATAAAACACTAGGATGTTCTTATATGAAATGCTAGTAAAACATGAAAAGCTATACGGGATGCTAGTTAAACATAAAACACCATGGTATTTTATAAGGGACTGCTTAAGGCGGCCCAATAGGTTTCACCCATGTTTCATCCGCTGCAATTAATTTTCCCGTGGGAATAAGACGTTTCCCCAGCGTGGGATATACATGTAAGACTATGGTATTTTTGTACGGGATATCATTTATGTGTATAGTCTTGCATGTTTCCGGTAGATAATTATTTCTGTTTCCGCTAGAGGTTTATGTTTACAGGAAGTTATATAATATTCACCTAGTTATTATGTAATAGGCGCGTCGCAAAGAAACGTAGTCTCACATCGCAACATTTTAGTGCAGTCCGCAACACAAACTTTAGCAGCCACAACAGTCCACTGCTGGACCTGGGTCGTCTTCTGTTTGGCGGATTGGTGAGTGCAGTGCAAGATGATGCATTTATAGAGAACGCTGCTGCGGTTTGATGATTTTATCCCTTAGTCGCTTTGTACGACACCCATTTATAGAATTAAGGTGATACCTACTGCCTTAGCCGGCATCACACGACAGTTTTAATTTATATGCGCGCAATAGAAAAAGGTTTTTGTTTAAGTTACTAGGTACCTACCCTGTGAGTCTATAGGTACCTAGTAGTATGTCAAGACTGCTGTGGTTTGGTTATGCGTCATATTCATATAACATAAGTCATGCGTTTTATTAATGAAAATAAGAAATTGAAAAAATTGTCATGCATCGGCCAGGGGTCGAACCCGGGCCGCATGGGTCAACGCCCCACCGCTATGCCACTCAGCTATCGATGCACCGGTAAGTAGATGTCTGCCAAATTTTTCAATATCTTCATGCGTTTTAGTCCGTAATGTAGGTAGGTGCGCAAGATTTTGAACTTCTTAAAATTTAATGAGTTTTTTTATTACAGACAGCGTGCGAAAGGGAGGTGGCAAAACTCACCCAGCAGGTCAAACAGCTTGAAGATAGTTATAAGGCCAAAGTGACAGAAGTAAGTAACAACATTACCCTACCTGTTTTATTCCTTTTCTCAATAAATATACGCTACTGTAGTTATTTAGGTGAGTGAGGTTATGATGGTGGACAGACAGACAGACAGACTTGAAGAAATGATAAGGGTTTCTAGTAGATTACGAAACCCTAAAAACAATAAATCAGGGTGTGACAGAGGTACTTACGGAAAAAATAATAAATTAATCAAGTTTTAAACCCGTTTTTTAAATTACAAATAGGTAAGAATTTGTCCGCAATCTCACCTGATGTTAAGTGACGATGCAGATGATGATGGAACATGCTCGCCCAGATACCTAATGCCTATTCACTCTCGCCTTGAAAAGGCCCAGGTTATAACGTTCCGGAAACAGATCTATCGGAAGCATATGCTTTATTTTAATTGATTTTGTTCCTTATAAGTAGGTATATTAAATAAATACACCCTGTGAATGAACAGTTCCTTACGCAAAATTACCCTGTATACGAGTACCTAATTTTCAGCCACTATCTCCACTTGTGAGTCATAAGTGACACGTGAGACAGCGCGTCACTCGAAACCGTTTCTATATCAAAAAGAAAAGTCGCCGTCTACCTACACTCGTAGGGCGCGCGTCTCACAGTTATCGTCTCACGTCTCATGTGTTTAGATAGCGCCTCAGTTTGCACTTGAGATGCGGCGGCACGTACAAAGTTTACGTTTGTGCAATGTGCATGTATGCACTCGCGCTGAACAAACTGCACCGTAATTGATATACCTACGGTGGTGTGAATTGTATTTGACGCTGGTTGTAAGTAGGTATACCGGGAGTAACAGAAAGGGTATAACAAGCCGAAAGGAGGTCAAGGTACCCATGAAACTGAACAACTTTCCCCATTGAACATGGGTCGAAAGGTAAAAAAAGTTTCATTGTCTGAATGCATCCTATCAGTATTCGGAGAGCAGTCCTTTATGCCCTGTTTAATTTGTTTTCGATCTGTCACAAAGAGCTTCATTTCTGAAAGTAAGATTTCTGAAAACATGCACGGAAGTCTACGATGATTGGTCTACCCACTCTTGACCCACTCATATTAAACAATTTCTACAATTGCACTGTATTTATATGTCTATGGAGTGTATGAGTGAATTGATTTTAGTGTATTTGTGAAGTTTTGTAGAGAAGTGTTGTGAACTGGGTGAGGGGAGATACAAGCACAATTAGTGAGGTAGATTTTCGCATACGGAAATTCGAAAATAGAGCTCTGGTTCTCTTGATATTGTTGCAAACGCGCAAAACGTTCCAACCACTTTTTAAAGAGCCCTACGCCTACGAGTCGTTAATATCCACTCCAATAGGTGTCTACTTTGTTGTGAACTCCTTTGTGCTGTAAATATTAAAGAACTAGAGCTCTTTTGTGATTGGTCTCCGATTGTCAAATTGTGGGGGTAAGCGGGGGTAAGCTTTGGACAAAGCGTATTGATGCTAAATTCGGGTAGTATTTTAGTTGGATAAAGCCTGCAGATTGAAATAGAAGCCAATTTTGATCGGGTTAAGCACTCGTCTACATCGCATCGGTAATTTGACTTTGGAAACTCACTGTGGATTCAGTTCTAACTAAACTAAGCACCTACCAATCATTTGTGTTGTACTATTATTATGTATTCTGTGGGTCTGTGCAAAAAGAGAATAGGCGTTTCATAGAGTTGTATTTCTCATTAAACCGGAAGTAACAAAAAGGGTAGATTAAGCCGAAAGGAGGGCATGGTACTCGTGAAACTGAACAAGTTACTGTAAGGAACATGGGTCAAAATACGAAAAGGAAAAGTTCTATAGTAAATCAATCAGGTGATCGGCGACATTGTATGGGAGGATGAAACTATTTTCATATTTAGACTCACTCATGTTCCATGGAGAAAGTTGTTCAGTTTCATAAGTACCTTGAACTCCTTTCGGCTTGTTATAGGTACCTTTTTTGTTACTCTCTTTAAATGCATCAAGCTTTTTTAAATGTTCCATACCTATCTATAGGAACCTTACTTAAACCTATTAAAACGTGTTTGTTCACAATTGTCTTTCGTGACTCAATTTTCGCGTTCAGCTGTATGTCAATATTACCTACATATTGGGGATCAGGGACGATTGCGCGTCGATATCTCTTCTAGTGAAAATCGTTGAAGTAGTTGCTAAATTGCTCGTTCAAAGATACCTACTAGATCATCAGTTAGTGCCACCATTTAATACGCATAACTTGTAATATAATATAGGGTTACATTTAATTAAGTACAATTCTCTTGAGGGTGTGGTCTACTCCCAAAACTGAACAACTTTTGTTAAAAACTTTTCTTCGAAATATGAATAAAAAATTTGACCCTCCCATTGATACAAAAATGCTGAAAAAGTGTGTCAGTTAGTATGGGAGGGTCAATTTCTTTCTTCATATTTCGAAGAAAAGTTTTTAACAAAAGTTGTTCACTTTTGTAAGTACTTAATTAAATGTAACCGTATATATTTTTTTCTTTCTTTATCCGACCCTTTCCTCTGTTGCTCTTCCTATGTGCAGAAGAGGATGTTTTAGGATGGTTGTTGTGGTTTTTGATTTTTTCTAAACATATTTTCTCCTTAACCTGTTAAAGGTTTAGTTACTATCACGTGATGTGAGAGGTACGAACGAATATCAAACCCGATAAGTAAGCGTATCACAATGATCCCGGCATATGGGCCAGTGATCTTGTTTGCTTAAGGCCGTAGCACGTACTGGATCAAGTTGTCTGATACTATCAGCGACATCTCGTATAATCCACTTAAGGGACCAGCCAATACTGGTTGCTGTAGGAAATGTATGGAAACCAGTATATGCTGGTCCCTCAAATGGTGTTTATTGGGGTGCCGAGGATAGCGCTGCTCATGAAGCTTACGGTAGTAAAGGGGTTACGTTCACGCACCACGTTTCGGGGATTTGGCGAACAAATCCAGCTGTGTGCGTAGCGTAGTTTCCGTTTCCGGGATACGTGCATGGAGGTGGTTTTACGAAACAACTCGTCGGGAAATACATAGTATTATTTTATTGGTGATCCTACTTAGTAGAGCCTTTTTCCATACAAAGTGGTTCAGTTTAGAAAGTAATAAATAACATTAAATAGTCATGAATATTTTCTTTATTGAACTTTGGCAGGTTGAGCATTATAAAACTATATTTCAGCGGAGGTTTTAACTTTTCTCAGTTCTTTGGTAATGTAGCCGGTATTCTCCAGGCTAACTACATTAAAGATAGAACTAGCCTATAAAACTGTACAACTTTCGTCAACTATCGTAGGTACTTACAAGTACTTATATTTTATCAGCTAACACAGTTTTGATATACCTAATAGGTAGGTAGTTATGAGAGGTAAATTTTGTTGTCGTATTTCGACCGCTTTCTCGGGGAAACCGTAACATGAGTATAGTTGTGTTCACAACATTTTTTTAATTCCTGTTGTAGGTATTCGCACTCAACTCTAAGATCGATTTTGACAAATTTCAACAGAACAATCTTCATCTCATAATCGCTCTCAAGATCGATCTCAGAGCTAAGAGCGATTTATAAATACGGGGCCTTAGTAGCTTTCTGTCTGTACCTAGTACGAGTACCTACAGTCACAGAATAAAGAATTCACAGATGGACACTTCATGGTTGCTACTTTTTCTTTCTGTAATAAGGTAGGTACCAGGGTCAACTTGGGTACATTTCTTACATAATATCACGCATACACTATAACACTCTACAAGGTCGTCATTTTCCCGTCCGCCCGCACAAGACGGTTTGGTTTTACGCTTTTAAACGACGGCTTGTAGATGTCTGTGTGACTGTTGTGACGTTTCCTTGTGCCCGTCTCTCTGTATCGCCCGCCCGCTAATACTCACTTTGTGCTACAGTGTTCCATCCTGCGGGCCGAGTTGGGGAGCAAGAACAAGAACCTAGATGCCTTGAAGAACTCGCAAAAGGAGCTGACGGTGAAGCTGAAGGAGACGGAGACGCAGCTGCAGACCATGCAGCAGCACCACGCCATGATGACGGGCACCAAGGACCAGGCGGACAGCGTAAGGCGGTTTATCCCTTTATAAGACAGAGCACGCCTGAAGGAGAAAGTAAGTCGGGTGCCGCTGATGCGGCTATAGGCGTAGTATGACAAAAGTATATGGCGCCGCGTTCAAGGGGTGCAATAAATTCTATTTCATACCTGACAAACTTGCACCTTCAAGCCCTATTCAAACTACAGCGGTAACCGGATATGTGGGTAGTGGAACTCAATTACTTGAAAGTTCGTAGCACCCTGAATGCAGCATATTCACAGACCGTGCCAGTTCCACACAGTTTTGAATACATAGGCTTCAAAATACAATGTGATTTGAGAGGAATTAATGTTATGGTGACAGATTTTATTATCTGATTTTACTTAAGGTTCATCTTTTTAAGGGTACTGCAACTCTACAGCTAAGCAAAAAAATTGTGAATTCCATTGTAATTTTTGCCATTAGGGGAAATCGCAAATTCAGCCACTAGAATTCAAGATCGGGCTTCCAATTTACAGAAAAATATTAGAATATTGTATTTTATATTTATTTTCTCGTATTACATAATTGATCAACTGGACATGCGTTTTGGCCAGTCATCGAAAGCAATGCAACACATGTAATTGTATTTGTATTGTTATGCCTGTATCTTAGGTGGAGGTGAATGTCAGAATGCTGAAGCAGTGCTACCGGGAAGCTAGGGAGGAGATAGACGAACTGCGGCTCTTGCTCAAGGAACAGAATGAACAGCTCCAGAATTATAGGAACAAGGT